AAAAACCCTAAGAGGTGGATATTATTATCTTCAAATGACAGATAAGGAACTAAGGCTCTGTAAGGCTGAGTAATCTACCCACATTTGTATAAGGAGCAGGTGACAGAACTGGGTGTTGGAATCAAGGTTTGAACCAAGATGTCTTTGACTCCAAACACTTAAACCCTTATGTCCTATGCAAACAGTATAATAGTGGGCATTTTCTTGTGTAGCCTGTGTTTTAGGTTAGCAATTTATTATAAACATTTCCACATCAATTGTATTCTTGAACAATATGACATATAATGACTGCTTAACAGTTCATCATATAAATTCACTAGCATTTATCTAACCAAATCCATATTTTTAGACATTATAAGATACACTATAGTGAATATCCTTAAACATTACTTTTTGTACTGATCTCAAATTTTTTTCTTAAAATAAGTTCTTAGATGTGAAATTTCTAGGTTTAAAGCTCCTGCATAATATTAAAGTTTTTGATGCATATTGACACATTGCCCACCAGAGAAATCTTATTAATATTTGTTCCCATCTGCAATGTGTTTGGGTACCAACGAAAGGGCTTTCTAAATGGAGAAGTGCTAAAAAGCTATAAAGAGCTAATGAATGTATGCCATTCTTATTTAAAGAAAAAGTAAAATGCCTCTCCAAATTTGTAGTCTACTACTACAAATTAATATAGAAATAAAAATAATTAAGGGTCTAAAATTAGGGTACAATACTAATCTCCTTTCAGGAGATTAGTATTCAAAATGTAGGCACTGGGTTCCTATACAGATCCTGGAGAAGAGGAAAACTTTCATTTTGAGGGTTTTTTAGAAGCCAAATCAAAAAGGGAAGCAAGAAGATGATGATGATAATGATGACGATGATGGTGATGATAGAGAGGCGGAGAAAGAGGAGGATGATCTCACAGCATCTGTGGTGGTGATAATAGCTCCTTGGATTTACTTTGTTTCTGAGATTTTGCCTCTGCTTTTCTGCAGGAGATAAAGGAAAGTGAGGTTTCTCCCCAGACTTTTAGTAGCCACTGTGGTAAGAAGGCAGTGGGGCCACCCAGACTAACATATTTGAGGCAATAAATAGTGATCGAAGCAGTATGATTTGAGGGGAACAAAACTCTTCCTCTCCATATACCACCCTCTTTATTCCTCAATAAATGCACATTGATTTCTTTTGTAAGGAAGCTTACATTTAGATGAAAACCTGACATCTGAAAATTTTGCTGCCACTATGAAAATCTAGCTATAATCACATCATAAATTTTATTCCAGTCATTTAACAAAACCTAAAAGAATGAGAATAGGAATAAATTATTTTCAAAGGTATAGGGGAGCTAGAAAAGTCAAAATTATCATGGTTAGGAGTAAGAAATACTCCTAGGAAGTTTTAGAGACATTTGAGAAAGAGGTAGGAGCTTGAGGCTTTGGGAAGCCTGGAGTGAGTGAGATGTAAATAGGGAGAGGTAAGAATGAACTTTGCACTGTGTGATAGAGTAGTACAGGTATATTGTAGCAAATGCCAATAACGTGTCAGGGTTTAACTAAGAAGTGAGTGTCTCCCAGCACCTCAAACACTGCATTTTATCGATTCTAGGATCCATGTTGTTTTGCAGTTTAACATCTCTGAAATTGGGGTGGATCTTATTATCAATGGTGTGTCATGGTTTAGAAGGCACCGTTTTTTTTCTTTATTAATACATAAAGAAATGGTGCATATTAAAATCTTCAACTTGTGCATGTGTGTGCATGCGTGCATGCATGTGAGAAGGATGGAGAGGGAAAGAAAATATTCTCTCGTTACAGGAAATGTCTGAAAGATTATATATTGACCACTTATTCCATTTACCTTAATAGTTGCTATTTTCTTATTGACTTATTTAAGATCTTAGTGATCATTGAAACCAACATCTTTCTACTGATGAGGAAATGGGCCTGTGGTGTTAGGTGACTATTCCTATCACATCTGTTTGGGGAGCAGTGGGTCTGCATGAGCATTTAGAGCATATCTATATGTTCATCACTTTTCAAAAATGACTTACAAATTACACTGAGTTGGGACCCCCAAGCAATAGGATTTATTTAGAACTAGAAGAAACGAAGAGTGATGAGGGCTGTGCCCTGTGAAAAAGTGCCCCTTGATAACGCCAAGCCACAGGACGGGAGGCAGGATGGAGATACTGATCATGCCTGCTGCAGTCATAAGTGTGAAGAGTGGTTCAGTTTGCTGACTGAACATCTTTCCCTTCCTTCCCTCCTTCCTTCCTTCTTCTCTCCTTTTTCTTTCTTTCACTTTAAGTGGCTGTGAGGCATAAGATAGTGAATTTAGTTATCCCTTTGAATGAGGTGGGTGCCCTTGCCTTCTCAGCTGCGGAAGAGACACCCGTTGTCCTGTGTTCTCTCCCTACACTTGTGGGAATGAGTCAGAGTTGCACTTGTTTTTTCAGGGTAGACATACATTCAAGTGGGCCTAGATGAGACAGGGTGGTTATACTTTTCCCTCCTGAAGGCCCTAAACTTTTTCCACCTCATTTTTAGCCTTCTAACTACCATTGATATTATAACCTTCCTTCTCCACAAGAGTCTCTTTTACAATTAAATTGTATCCTGACCATCCTCAGTTCAAATCGGAACGTAGTTGAGTACTGGCCTCAGGATCTCCTTTCCACTGAATTTCTTCTTTGAGTCTTGGTGCTGCTGTTTTAGCCATGTGACCTTGAGAATCTTGAATCACAGTTTGCTTGTCACACATAAGGATATTGAGAATATTAACTATAATAATGCACATAATCTCTTCATTTAACGATGCCAGACACATAACAAATATTTAATAAATATTGGCTATTTTTTATTATTTTTTTGCAATGGTCTCTTTTCTCCTTCATCAACTACTATATTACAATTCTTTCGCCCTTATAACAAATTTATTCTCTGTAAGTTTATAGGTTTTAATATTAATTACTGCTAATTGTATGATTTCAGGTTGTTACTCTATTCTACCAAGAATGTTTGCATTCTTCACTTCGATTTATTTTTACAGAGAGTAACAATCCTTCTAACATTGAAAGAAGTTCAGTGAAGTCATTTTGTGTAGTACATTGGCGAGGAGATGGGGATATTCTCTCCTACCTCAATCTGGATTTAAGGCTGGTCCTATTGTCTTCATAGGTGTTTCCCCCTGTTTCTGAATGCCCACTTTATGGCAATCTTAGTCTTGCATATACTGATTCTACCTCTTGTTTTCCTGAAGCCACTCCCATTTAACTCTTCTGTTCTAGAAAGCCATTCTAGGTCTTTGAAGGCAGAGAAACTCTTTTTTTTTTTTACTACCACCTCTTTCCTTTCTCCTGACGATGATAACTCAGCCAAGCTACAACTCAGATATTTCCATCTCAGACAAATCTCTCACGTAGCTCAAATCCTCTTTATCACCCTCTCTCGTCCCACCTCTGCATGATTAAGTGCACTCTTTCTTCTATTTGTGAGTCAAAAAGTGACTAATTATAAATAATAAGTACAGGAGACTGTGGTGAGACAACAGGGAAAGAAAACTATAAAGTTTTTGTATTTTTACTGTTTTTATTCAGATTAAAAAATTTAAACACTATAAAAATGTATGAAAGAGAGTCTCATATAACCACACCCACAAGAGGCAACTGCTGATAACAGTTTGGGGCTTATTGGTTCAATTTTTTTCTGATGTTGTTAACTTTGGGGTATAGTTAGGCATAATGGGAAAGAACTGGTTTCCTGAAACTCTAAAATTCCTTTGAAAATACCCAGACCTTCTGTTAGGAATCAGCATAAAACCTCCCATAAAATCTGTTCTTCCTCAAACCAAATATTTAAAATACATAAAAAGAGTTCTTATTCAATTTACTGTTTTGTTTAATAACTATCATTACTACAGTATTGTATTGCACTATTTTCTTAATAAACAAAGTGGGTTTCAGATTCATGATAGTTAAAACAGGACTAATCTTGAAATTCAGCCACCATTAAAATATTATTTCTGTAAGAAAATGTGTACTGACAAACTTTGGGAAGATAATTTTGGAACAGCCAATATTTATTTCCAAGTGAATGTAGCTTTCAGTCAGAAGCATGCTAAAAAAGACCAAATATCATTTCATTAGGTGTTGGGAAAACCTGGATTAGGAACCAGCTCTGGCTTAGATGATAAAACCTTGGGCAAGTCATTGAACTTTGCTTGGTTGTTTGGATCTTGCTATGTAATTTTGTAGCGGATATCACCGGTACTCATGAATATTGCATTGTGACTGCCAGGAAGGCAACAAATAATGGCTTGAGAATGGGAAATGGGACTGTTTTGTTAAAAAGAAAAAGTCTAGTCACGTTATTTTAGATAAAAGAGTTGATTTTAGGGCTAAACCTGGCAAAAAATTAAGAACAGTTGAGTTGAACAGCTGATGAAAGTAAAAATCTGGAAACTGAGTCTCTTCCACATGGTCTACGTTTTTGTGCTTCTCTCTGCACACTGGCTATCTCTGCTCTCGCATAACTTTGACTTATATGTGTGATTTTGGCCAGGAGCTTGACATTGATCTAGATTTTAATGTCTTTGAAACTTGGCTTCCCCAACTCATTGAGACAGTCATGTTCAGTGATTTCAAATTCCAGGATACAAAAATCTGATTGGCTCAGGGTCAAGTGTCCATTCATCATCCAGTCAGTTGTGATTAGGGATGCAGTAGGAGCCAGGGGTGAGAGTCGATTCTCTTAGAAAAAGCTGTGGCAGCAATGGCTGCCATTTAATATAAATTAAGAGAAAAAGAAATAGGGGTTCATATCTTCTAGTTCTAATTCTTTGGAGAGCTTTTATTTCAATTTAATTCATTTCAACAAATACTCAAGTCTCTTTCATTCTAAGACATACTTTTTCATAATTTAATGTAACTGATATCTAGTCATGCCTAATAATCAGTGTGTTCATTTAATGATTTATGTTGTAATATTTCTTCTTTTTCCTTCTCACAGCCCCAAACTATTTTTAAACTGGCGAGATTTTAAAACCGAGGAAACACAGCATCTATTATCAACAGGGCATCAATTACTTTCCATGGAGGATATAATATAGTTACCCCTAGAGATGGGGCTTGGTTGGAAAGGTATCTATCCCAATATCTTTCTTTTATCACCCATTAATCCTGTACCAAAAGAAATAGGAGGCTGTATACCTCTGTTCTAAGAGATGAAGAAGTCCATTAAAGATTCTGAGGTGGTCTCAGGATTTATAGCCCTGAGAAGCAAACATTTATTTTATAGAATAATAACTATCAGTTATTATTCTGTTCCTGCGGACTGAACAGGAAGTCGATGCTAGAGCACATGTGGGCGCTAAATGTAGCTTTGTATGCAACCAAATTCCAGGCAATTGCCTCGTCTAATTCACTCAGAATTTTAAGAAATGCTTCCTTTGGAACTGAAGTTCTTTCTTCTTGGTTTCAGCTCAAAGGTGAGCATTTTTTTTGAAAAGGTTAAATCTTTTCAGATGTTTTTGAGGTGTACAAAGAGGAAAAGTTAAACCATCTTCTATTATGCATACTTCTAGCTTCTATTACCCAAATGGGTTTGAACTTTACTATTTTTATTCTATTTGGAGAGTCCCATGATCTACTAAAAAAGTAGCTTATGGAAAAAAAAATTCTTCTCAAATCAGTCCTGAAAATAACTACTTTTGTTCTTGCTTAGAAGAGTAAACTTTTCAAACTATGTAAGAGGTACAATAAGGTAAGACCTATATATAGAAACTCATCAATTGGAAAACTGGCAGATGGAATCTGTTAATGACCTAGAAAAAAAAAACTTGAATCAAGTTTTTAAAAAAATAGTTAACCTTTAAAACATCCATGGATTGGAAAAACAGAGCACTCAAATTAAATATTGAGGCTACATTGAATAGTGGATCAGCTTTGATGCTTATAAGCTGTGTGTGGTTAGTTAAATTGCTTTCACTTTCTGTGTTTCAGGTTTCTTATATATAAGGGAGCCATGATCAAAGAAACTATTTCAAAAGGTTGTTGCGAGCAATAAATCAGGTAAAAACCCTAAAGTACTCAGAAAGCGAGTGGCATATTGTAAGCTATCAATAAGTGTTTCCTATTAATTACATGAAAACCACCTTAAGATAGATATAAATACGATTTAATTAAGAAATAAATATGGTCTTTTTAGTGATCAGTTGGTTTTTCAGCTCATTGTTTTCAAATTAATGGCAATTTAAAAAATAAATCTCAATTATATGCTATATCTAAGGAACAAATAGAACAAACTAATCAAAAACAGACTCACAGGTATAGTGGACAATTTGGTGACGGACAGAGGGGAGGGGGGGTTGGGAGTCTGGGAGAATGGGGTGAAGGGTTAGAGAAGTACAAATTAGTAGTTGATAGTTGGGCACGGGGATCATGGAAGAGGGAATGCAGTTAGCATTAATATGTTGGCTAGGTGGAGGGCCAGGGGAGGGAGGAACAATTGGGGGGATCATTTTATGAACATTATAGATGTTTAACCAATGTACTGTATACTTTAAACTAATTTAAATAAATAAATTTATTTAAAAAAATAAATAATTCTCAGTGATTTCAAGTTTTTCTTTGCAGTTGGTGCAAGTTCTCCCTGCTAAATTGCAGATAGAGTGGACCATTTGGAAATGGAAGTTTCTGAATAAGAACATTCAATATGCACAGTAAAAATTCCCTGCTACTCACTAGACTGAACATTTGGAGATACTCTTCTGACATTTGATAAGTCTCTGGAAAAACCAAAGATGACTCATGAGTCATGACTGCTCCCAGCAGACCTCTCTAGGCCCATCCACACCCTACCAGCCCAAGTATTAGCTTTGCCTAAGAACTGTACTCAGGTATCACAGATGCCACCAGCAACTTTAAATGGCTTAATACATTTCTTTTGTGTGATGCTAATAGATTCCTGCTTTTCATGTTAATGCTGGCTAGGCCATAGCTCCACCGCTTATCATCAGTGACTATTTTGTAAAGTGCCTTGAAACAAGGCAGACACTCAATGTGTTCAGTATGTGAATGAATGAAGGACAGTTTCCACTATGGATGAATGTTGATTTCCATATTACATATGTTTTCCTAAAAATTGTGCCATACACGAATTTTTAATAAATGAAATATGTATCTCATTGCCTTTAATTATAAATTATAGATTATAATTATAAATTATAATTATAAATTATAGATTTATAATTTCAGATTCATTTTTACTTTTTCTACAGACATTTAACACTTAAGATTTAAGTATTTCTTCCCTCTTTTTGTTTTGCAAGCTATCAACACCCTCTTCCTCAGCTCTGTCAAGAAGCTCATGATATGTGGGTATCTCTTTTGAATGAGAATAATTAGCTCCCTACCCCCAATTTACTTCTCTCAGATTTTAATTGCCAAGTGACAGCTTGTCTTAAAGTAGGGCATACTTACAAATATGCTTATGTCACCAGCAAAAGGCATAAGCATATGCCTTTAAATTTCTATAAAGAAATTTATAGAAAATAAATTTCAAAGGTAGATAATGTCTCAAATTTTATAACCCTTAAATTAGTGATTAACAATACTATCCTAAGAAAATAAAAGATGAAAGTTTTGGGTAAAATCTCTTAAATGTAACAAAAAACCTCGTTACATTTATGACACAAAAACCAAGGTACCTATTTTCCCTTGGCACAAATAATATGTGTTGGCTGGCTAGAAATGGTTATAATTATGTGGTATAGAATAAAAGGTTCCCTTGATGCCAAAAACAGAAAAATGGGTGAACCAGACCAGAAATCACATATTGAGTAAACAGCTTCCCAGACAAATGAATTTAGCTGATTTTTAAAAAGCGGTTTCATTTACTTTCAGTTTTAGGATCTTTATGGATAGATCCAAACTCTTTATTAAAAAATTTGAGGTACAAGAGTCAGCATCACATATTTATAAACCTTGAAACAGTGTAGTCATGTGTTTAACAGAATAAATGGACTATACTTTGGGATACTATTTTCAGGACTTTAAACACCAAGCAACTTAAAGCTAACCTTTGTACAAGTTTTAAAACAGGGGAGGGAACTGGTTGGGTTATACTTTATGAATTTTGACATTGATATTTTGAAGTTTTCTTCTTCTTTTACTTCTCAGAAGAAAAATATAATATAATTTCCTTTTGTAGGAAGATGAATAATAATTATGATTTTTAAAAATGTCTGGTTATCTGGTATTCAATATATATGTTTAAAGTTCTAAATTGAAGATAATTTATATTTTCTTAGGGGATAAATTAGAAAATTCAAATAAGCAAAAAATTTTAATCTACAATCTTATTTACCCAGAGATAATCATTGTTAACTGTTAACTTTAATACATACATATTCAACCTCTCATCCCTCTACCATTTTACAATCAAGACTTTAAAAAATAACATGTATTTATAACATAATACCATAAATAAATATTGTTCTGAAAGCTGCTTTTGTAATCTAACCTATATAGTATAGACATTTTTCCACGTCAGTCTTTGGAAGTTTTGGCATTTCCTAGTTATGTATAGTACCCACCCAGCAAGTCCAGGAGAATCGATGGCTTTCGAGGCATCAATTACTATACATTTTGTATATAGACATTAGCCCTGAGGTGTCTTCAGAACAGTTTTATGAGCCTAGACATGGATTACTGGGAACTGGAACATTACATTGTAGACGCCTCATAATGGATTGTGGTAACAGATTGATATGTGATAATGTATAATGTCCTCTTTGAGGAATGATTTGAGATGGGGCTGAACTCCAGCTTTAGCGAGTGAAGAAGTGCTTGGTTAAATATAAATGTGATTCCCATTTGCTTTCACAGTCTGCTGAAAGGGGACCAGATATTCTTATTTTCTCATGTTTGAATTATACATTCATAACCACAATCAAACAAAGCATCAGAGACCAGTCAAGAAAACAAAAAACACACTAGTTATTTTTAACAGAGAATTTAATAAAGGAAATCAATGAAACAGTGTTGTACTTAGGCAGAAAAAAGAACATTAAAGTAATGCAGATAAATACTTGTGGGGAGCAACTCTGACCCCCACGGCTGGGAGAACAAAAAGAAGAGTTAGATTAGCAAAAACTGCAAGCTTGGAGGAGCCCTAAGAAGCTGGGGAAAAGACCTCCACAGAGGGGGTGCCACCATGTGCTGTTGTACCTCTGAGTATGAAGCTGGTATCAGCAGTAATGGAAATAGCTCAAAACTGCAACTAAATTTTGCTGCTGGCGTAAAAAGGCATTGCTGGGGCAGCGATGACAGGCACAGAGGGTACAAAGGAAGGATCAAATCCTTTCATCCTCCTTGAGCCTTCTTGTCTCCCTCTATTGCTTCCATTTGCAGAACTTAACAGAAAGTGCTGTTGCAAAAGAGAAATGGCATTTGCAGAGCCCCAGTCCTAGCATCGTGGAGTAGAATATAAAAGGGTGGGTTTGTAGCTGAGAGACAATATCTTAATCCAGCACAGGGATATAAAGTGATTCTCATTTTGTAGTCACAGGGTGCTGGTGAGTTATTAATTCATAACCACAAAAAGACAACTTGTCTAAATAAGCATACGAAAAAGACAACTTGTCTAAATAAGCATAAGTTCATGGTAATTGAGTTCTCCATTAATCTATGCTTAGTAGGTAAATCCAATTGATTTGTCAATAAACGAATAGCAGTAGATTCCAAAATTATTTTAAAAACCTTGTTGATAGAAAAACCTAAAATTGAAGAAATTCGTATATCGATTTTAAAAAAATAAATTAGGGGAAATGTTGCATTATTTGACTTGAGAATTTGAATGTTTATCCTAATTTTGCAACCTACGAGATGTGTTTAGAATTATCAAGCTGGTAGTAAATGTTTATAAAGGCGCCATATACAAAGGATCATCCTTTTTTCTACTTCTGTTATTTAATTCCTTCCTTGAAGTGGCTTTCCTTTGAAAGTCCATGGAAACAGTCATGTGAAAACCAAGTCTATATGTCAAAACAGCCATGCACTTGAGAAAAAAAGCAAGAAAGAAATCTTACAAGTTATTTTGTGCTTGAGCAGGAAATACTATCTTTTTTACTTTTTAGTCAGTTTTATTGTAAAGCAGGACAGTAATTTATTTACTTAATTTAATGCCTCTGGTTTGTTAACTGCTGGGGATATAAAGATAAGAGATAGGTCCTGCTCTTAAGGGATTTCTGATTTAATAGATGAAGATGGATATGTCAAAGATAACAGGATAAAATCAGGTAGACAATGCCATGAAGACAAATTCTGTCTTTGGGATGGGGATGGTTAGGAAAATCTCCACTGAGGAAGTGACTTTTGAGTCTTAATGAGAATATATCAATCAAGTAGACAGTGACCATTGGTAAATAGCCTCCATCATTTCCTCTTCTTTCCACCACACCCCCGTTTTTTTTTTTGTGGATCAGGTATTGTATGTGACAATGTCAGAGAAACTTGTACTAATGGAAGAGTAAGAACAAAACCATAGTAGTATCAGGGCCAGAAAAGGAAGAAGGAGTTCAGAAATATAAAAAATATTTTCCAGGAAGAGCAAGTTTTTTTTTATTGTTGGTTTTTTTTAATTGTTGATTTTATTATTAAAAAAAGGAATACGTAATTGGATATCTTATTACTTCATTGAAAGACGTATTGCAGGTACTGATTATATTCCATTGCCATTTGAACTCCAGCCAGCAAGACCTGGCTTTAGCGAAAAGGATTACACTTGGACATAGAGATTATGTTTTGTTGAAGTAAGAATTTAGAATAGTGATTTTCAAATGACTTCTGGGCCTTCTGGAAAACATGTTAATGTGTAGATTCTCAAGCATTCTCTCTCCATCTCCTGCTGTGAGATTCAGATTCAATTGGTTTGAAAAGAGTCCCATGAAGTTGCATTTTTAATAAGCACTCCAAGAGATTCTAATATAGGTGGCCTTCGACTACACTTTAAAGAAGGGACCATAGAAATTTTGAAAATTTTCATATTTGAAATTTCTTCTTCATGATGCAGAATATTAGAGTTATCGAAAGGTGAAAGCCTTGGAACAACTCCTAAAGACATTTTTGTCATTAACTTCTGCTAAAGGAAGTTGACTTTCCTAATTTAATTAATGCCAATAAGCATGAGAGTGATGGTTGTGTGTGGTCTTATCTTGTTCTTCTTTTCTCTCTTTATATTTTTCTATTTTCCATATATTCTCCTGATTCTTCCTCCTTTCTTTCAGTTGTACTGTATCTACATTGTCAGTATATACAGACATGACATACTATTCTCTCTCCTT